CTCTGCTCATGTATTTTGACAAGTCTTACCTTACTTTTAATTACGGGGCCTTGTAGTTTACTAGTAAATGCAGCAATAGTGACTTTGGCAGAAACGGAGAAATCTGTGTAACCTGAGCCTTCGTAATGAGTCTGTGCTGACTCCTTGTAAAATGGGGTGAGGCAATTGATTTTAAGAAGAATTTCAGTAGAGCAATTTATGTGATATGTGACTGTAGTCACAAATCAGTAAGCCTTTTATGGGCCAAGCACACCAGAATGCATACATTAAACGAGGGTAGTTTCTCAAAGAAAGTTTGTTGGCCACGCCAGACTTTTGCCAGTGATGCTGCCGTTACCCAACACTTTTTTGGAAGTCCACATTTGGACTTATTTTTAGAGTCAGTTTTCAAGTCACAACAACAGCAAAAATAAATAAAAATATCACCTGAAATTCAAAATACTAAAGGAGGAGGCTCGTTTTTAAATTGCTTACCTACTTTTTATTATCCAGTCAGACTCTTTCCCAAATTGAATCTTCCGTTGAAGGAAGCCATTGGCGCATCACTGAGGCCACTCATGAGAAGGTGACACGGTGTTGATAGACCCACTAGAACCATGAGCCCCTCCCACCCCATATACTTTAGCAGGCACTGCAGGGCCTTCTGTTCTGGGCAGTTTATAAAACTCAGTGAGAGTGGGAAAAATCTTACAGCCATGTGTACAGATGATAGTGAATATTTTGCTCTTTATCTCCTCTAGCCAGGCATCAGTTTGGAGTTTGGGTCAAGTTTCTCCCAATACTTTGGGAATGTCAAAAGAAGGGGGCAGTATGTCACCAACAGCTTCTGCATAGCATACAGGTCTCACCACCTAGCCCTGAGTCTGCATGTCCTAATATTTTTCTTCTTTTCCTTCGTATAAATTTTCCTACCCAAATTGGTAGAGTTATCCCATTGGAAAATGTTTCCATTACCCTTCTCCACTGTCCCACTCCCTATCCAGTCTCCATCTTCACCTCTACCACTCCGCATAAAAAACCAACCCGCAACATACCTGCCTAAGTGAATAACAAATTAAAAATTGCCAACGTCAGTGAAGAGAAATTAAAAGCCCAACTGAGATGAAATGGAATCATTTCAGTGAGTCAATAGCACTAAAAAGGTAGGCAGACCTTGTAAGAGGTGCGTTAGGGGAAAGGGGACAGCAATATGAAAGAAAACTTTCAGAACCTCAGCGAACCTGGGAGAAGTGACTGCAGCTTATAGTGTCAGGGCTGATAGGGTGGGGGTGCACTACAAACTTAGAAATGACTGGGTTCTGAAGTCCCAAGGAGCCCAGGGCCAACTATGATGCAGAGCAATAAAATCGCATGTAAAGGGAGGCCGAACAATATTTTTCAGTTAGGCGTAAACCCATCCTCATTGCCCTTGAGTAAAGCTGGTCCTGTTGCGTCCAAGCTGCTGGTCTGGCCAGAGGGCGATGGCTTTGGTCTTTTTCTGGGCTTACACTTGGCACAGCTTCCACCCTTGCCGTCTAGTCACAACAGTCAAGTGGCACCATGTAAACCCACAATGCCAATCACAACAAGGCAAGAGCCCTTCCTTCCTCCAGTTGTAAAGGGAGGGAAACATAAGCTCCACCTCGTAACGTTTTACGATGTTTGTGAAGGTTCTTTCTCTAGTACTGAGAGATAGATGGAGGCTCCGTAAAAGCACAGATTGTAACATGCTGGTAGTTTATTTGTAAGAAATTTTGTTGCTGTTGTGGCATGAGGATTTAAAGAAATCTTAGAATATAAGCTCCATTTTAGAATCCAAATGAAGTAAACATTATTTGGCAGGAGGTACCAATAAAAAAAAAAAATAGCGGGGAGAGGGTGGTACTTACTGTTTAATACTGAATTCCTTTGAAGAGTCTGACACTCAGATGTCCCAAAGGCCGGGCAGGGCCTGTCAGTGAGGAGAGCCGATGGGAGGGGAGGGGGTGACCTGGGGAGCAGGCCTCCTGGACAGGTAGGGGCAGCTGCAGTTCAGCTGAAGCCAACTGTTGTTACGGGGAATGCAGGCCTATGCTGCCACAGCTTGAGACATTTTTAAAGCGAAGCCAAAAACCCAGAATTTTATGTGAAATCACCCAAGGTCTACATGTTGGCAACTGATTCGATTATTTTTAAAACACTGCTAGAGCCAAACATATCACATCTGTAGGCCAGATTCAGCTCACGGGCCTCCAGCGTGTGCCCTGGGTAGCTGTACAGAGCCCGTGTGTCCTCTTGGTCAGAAAGGGAGCTCGCTGGTGTTCACTGTGGGCTGGTGCGTGGGGTGGGCTGGTGTCAGGATAGCAGGATTAGAAAAGTGCCCCCGGCCCAGCTCAGTTTCCTTCTCACGTTGGTTGTGTGTAGCTTCTGCTCTAACCTGACCACATCCCTTCCCATGGCTCCCCTACCTAACTCCTCAGACAGGAGTGCCCGAGGGTACCAGGTGCTCAGAGGAAGGGCAGGTGAGGAAGGAGCAGGCAGTGAATGCTGGGACTGCTGTGGACTCACCCACAACCGAAAAGAAGCAATTAATGTTGGGAATGTGGCCGGGATTGGTGAACCACAGAGACTTCTGCACATAATAAATGAGGATGTGATGCTTTCAAAGTGGCACCTTGCAAGAGGGAAGCATTGAAACCAGACCAAAGAAACTGGGTCCTGGATGGAGGAGGGCATCTTAGAGACGGCCACGTGAGGCCCTTTAGGAAGGGAAGGAGTCCTGGATGCCTTGGGCCCCTTAGCCTGAGGCTGGGCGATCCAAACAACTGAGATAAATATGAGCAGTGGCCCAGGTCTTCCTGTAATGGGCTGGAACTGATGTAACTCCTGTGTTCTGGACTATAGAATAAAGAGTCTCACTGCCATCCTCCAAGTCCAAATGTAAAGATTTTCTGCTTTAATATCACAACTTATATTATCCAATGGATATGCGCCTTGAGAATGGCTACACTGGGCTGTATATTGCTCTTTACATTGTCAGAACACCTCAAACAGAGGCTCAGTGACTATTTGTTCATTTACTTGCGTAAGACGTTTCATTTATGTTTTGCATTTAGTTTTGTATTTCCATATATTTGTAGATCCACTCAGTCCAGTCCCCACATTGATGCATATTTTTCTGCTTCATCTCCCCGTGTTTCCATGTTTCTAGTGGTATTTTGTTTGTACCACATCCTGCCACCTAGCATCATCTCTGTGTTCACCAAAGGCATGGGAATAGCCTATCAATCAACAGTTCATCATGGAGAACAGACTTAGTGAAGAGAAGTGGCATGGGGAGAAAGTCTGTTAGCTGACGAGCTGGAATCCAAAGAGGCTTGTCTCAGAATCTACCAGAAGGGAAGAGAAGATTATTTTGAGTACTTTGCAAATATGAGTGTGTGTGTGTATTTCACTGAAAAGCCCTCTGAGGATTAGAGGAAAGGGGATATATTTTTGGACCAAGCAATTTGCTTAAGAACCTATTTTTGGATTTTCATAAATAATAAAATTTATGGCAATACAGATGATATATAGATCATTTAGCAGTATAAATATTTCTTCATTTAACCTTACTGTGATTTCAGAAGGACTTTTAATATTTATTCTGAATGGAAAATCTCCTTTGAACATGGCAGTAGCATTCCTAACCCTTTCTTGGACCAATTCTGCATCTGCTATAATTAAAAATATATAAAAAATGGTACAATCATGTGGGAAGGGAAGGAGAGGAAACACTGAAAATTACATCAAGTGATGGTTTGAGGTATGGGATGGCAAGTGATTATTTCCCCATTTATTGTTATTCTACACTTAGTGTAGCTAAAGAAAATAAAATAAAATAAGACACCTCAAAATGAGAAAGCAGTGCCTTCAGACTTCAGAGTAAGAGTTTCCTTTGCAAAATAGGTATTCTTACATTCTTGATCTTATATTAATTAGCCCATTTTCATTGGCCTAGATGTAGTTGCACTTTCCAGTAATGTAGCCTTTCCTCTTTGGCAAGGTACCCCTTGATTAGAGAAGCGAAAGAGGAGGAAATAAATTACCTCTCACGCCTTAGTACATAAGGCAGTTTTTATAATAAGAAAGACAAGTTACAGGAAATGGAATCATTTTCGATATCTGAGCGTTGGCTCCGCGGAAGATAACTGCACACTAAAGGCACTGCCAGGAGGTCTGTATTTTTGCTCTTGACATCTGTAGCTGCCACTGCCACCACCGATGGAGGCTGTGATAAGTGATGAGAAAATGAATGAGGAGGTGATGTATCCTCCTTGACAGATTTAAGGAATTGCCACAGGCAGCCCCGAGGCAAGTGCTGACTGAGGACATTCTGGCGCCTGCCTCAGGTCACTTTGGCACCAGCAGGCAAAGCTGTTGGAAGCAGGGGCAATGCAATAACTCTGTGGTTTGAATCTGTACTTAGATACTTGTTTTAACTTTTTTTTTTTTGAGGGATGAACTGGAGGTTGTACTATAAATTCTGAAGCATTCATTACTGTTGGTTAGTTGGTATCTGTCTCATGCTTATGTTATTACTGCGGAGATTCAGCATTCATTGCTCCATGCATAGCCTCCAGGGAAATGCCCACATAAGTGTTGTAATATGGCTCTTTTAAGATTTCAGGGCTGCCCATCTTCAAAGCTCTACTTTCACCCAAACTGTCTTATGTGCTGGGTGTGGGCTGGGTCAATGCTAATATTGATCACAAGGAAAGAATTTGACCTGAGTTCGTGTTCCAGAAAAGATAAGCAGGCACAAGTGAAGTAAAGCAAAGGATCCTGGGTACTTGCTGGGGAGCCATCCTGGGGAGCCTGACGGGCTGTGCTTAAAATTTCTGGAAAGCCAGGCTGCAGACATTGGAAGAGAAGAAATGTGCTCCAAGGCAGCACGAACTCCCACCTATCTTTTCTATTTTGTTTGTTTAAATATAGATAACAATTTTTGTTTATCAAGTAACTAATCTTTTTGCCTTTCTTTTCTTCTTCCATCTGCCCAGGAATTTATAAGTAGTTGACCTTACTCAAAATGTGCAAAGAAGAATAATGGAAGCCCCTGAATACCTTGATTTGGATGAAATTGACTTCAGTGATGACATATCTGTAAGTATTACTATTTGCAAATAATGCTTTCAGGAGACCGCCTTCACCTACATGGGCTGCTTTCTCTGCAATAGTCTATATATCCTAAACTCTTCCAACCACATTTAGAAATTGACAGCAGGCATCCTGTGTGGCAGACAACGTGTGATTTGGGGATACCCTGGACCAAGAAGTGAATCCCACCAATTGTATGAGCTTGGGTGGGAAAGGCATTTAACCTCACTGAGACTCCCATTCTTAATGTCTTTCATTATTGCCACAATTATTCCCTGAGTAAATTTATAAAGAGCCAGCATATGGTAGACACTTTCATAGAGTTATTTCTGCACATAATTAACCCTATCAATGTTAATTCCCTTTATATGACTGGCTGTGGCACAGCCGGCATTCTGTAGTGTTCACAGGCATATGAAATGAAGGATGGCCAAATTATTAACTGATAAACAACAATAGGAATCCCTCCAGTCACTGTAGGTTTCAAAGCATAGGTTGGATGCTTGTTGGAAATACTGAGGAAGAGTCATGCATTGATAAGGACTGAGCCAGCTAAACGGTGAGGCCCTGCCTAACTCTGTCATGATGTGGTCTATTGAGCTTCTTGGACCTCATGGCTACTCTGAGTGGGTCATCTACGTGCACCCTGCTTAGAGCTGATTGTGACTTATCCTGGGCCACACAGTCAATTCTGCCACCAAAGCCAACCAGTAAACATGTTGGTCTCTTGTGCCCTCCCAGCAAAATTGTGGTCTCAGAGTATGTGCGGTTTCTGAACTAATCATATGACTGTTCTTCCCAGCACCTGCAAGGTCACAGTTTCTGACCTTACTTTTTCATTACTCCCTCTCTAGGGTCAACACTAGAAATTGTCTCAAACAGATAAGCTTACTTTAACATGCCTCTGGCAACAGCATTATTCCTTTCCTTTGTTCCTTAGTTTGAAGTAAGATTTGCATACTGTATGCAGGAATTAGATTACTGGGTTGAGTTTGATGAATGATCTACTTTATACAATTTTGGATGAGTCTTCGTACCAGGGAAACGGGAATTCAGTTTTTCCCTACTTCAGTTTCCAGACAATTTTATTAATCCTTGTTAAGACAAATGTGAAGTGAGTTTCTTCCTTTCGCTAATATCTTCCTGTCTGTCTGTCTGTCTTTCAATTACTATGCTTGTGTTAAAAGTGTTCAGAGCATGCTTCTTTTATAACCAAGCCCCTCGAGGTATTTTGAGCTGAGTAGGGAAAAGCATAGAAAGCAAATGATAACGTAGGGAGGTGTGGGTAGGGTGGAAGGTGTTTTAGAAAGGGAACCTTGTGTGATAATTAGGAGTTTGAGGGGGACCCCTCTGAGCTTTGATAATGAACTTGCATTTTAAGAGTATACGTAGGCTTTGAAGATACTAGTCTGGGCTCCAGACTTGTTGTGCCCTTCGCTAGCTGGAGCACATTAACTGCACCTCTGAGGTACCCACCTACATTCTAAGGTTTTTTGTTAGTTTGTTTTGTTTTTTGAAGATATATGTGAAGCACTTAGCTTGGCACGCAGTAAGTTGCTCTTAAAAATGGTAGTTTTTGTTATTGTTCCAATGAATAATACAATAATATTTATAGGACCGATGGTGAAGAAAGAACTCAAGGGAAAAGACCAGGCATCATGTCAAGACTTTAAAAAAAAATAAAAAACTACAATAGAGCAGTTGTATTTACAGAGGAATCATCTGGCAGCAGCCCATAATTTTGATGAATTAGGAATTTCCACTTAAAAGATAAAATGTTAAGCAATAACTGAAGCTGTTTAGCAAGTTGGGATACAGGATTCCACAATAGTTGAGCGTCTATAACTTGACCACTCTGAAGCGTAAATAAAGACATCCATCTGTAATTGTGTAACTGCACTTAAACCTCCCCCTCCCTCCCAAACCCTTCAATTACATTTCATTTGTTTGGATCTTCAACCTGCATTGAAACTTATATGAGAAGGAAAAACATGAACGAGCATGGAATTGTTGAAAACATCTTAATGGCCAACATTTATTGAACACTTACTATGGGATAGACCTAATCTTGTTTAATCTTCACAACACCCTATGAAGAAGGTGCTTATTAGTATCTTCATTTTACAAATGAGGAGACTGCAGCATGGAGATGTTACATAACTTGCTCACAGTCACCCAGCTAGTAAGGCATACTTTGTCTGCAAAATATCCAGTTTTAGTCACAATATTGGACTGCCTCTCGAAAACAAAAAGAGTCGTTTGAAGTGGTCCTCATCAGGATCAGCTTTACCCACCCTCCATGGGGACATTTGGCAATACCTGGAGATAGTTTTGATTGTCATAACAGGGGCTTTGCTGGTGGCATCTAGTGGGCAGAGAGCAAGGATGCTTCTTGACAGCCTAAATTGCCCAACAAAATCTCCTACAACAAAGAATTATCTGGCCTAAAATGTTGATGTGTACTGAGGATGAACAATCCTGGCCTATACATAGCCACACGAAGCTGAAAAAGCTTTACTTTCACTGGCAACCTCTATAACATGGTAGATTATTTCATAATCGCCCAACCTGATCCAGGTTCAATACCTTAAATCATATTGTTCTTAAATACTGACTTCATGGGGAAAGCAGTAGAGAGAGATGACCTCTTAAATACTGAAGCAATTGTTCTCAGCTTATTTAGGTAAACTAGGAGCAATAAATGTTATAGCTGTTTTAGGGGCTAAATGAAGACTCTTCAGATGCTAACATTGAAAAATGAAGATGGGTTCAATTTGCTAATTCACTAGCATAAAAAGAAATGTAGTCTTCCGTAAACATGCCTTTATTTTTAGGGTTCTGTGAACCTCTGTTGCTGACAGCCCTTCAGCCTCCTTCCCGTTAAGTGGCAGGAGAGGGGAGGATAATGAACAATACATTTGAAAAAGATGTTTACCAGAAGATGCCCAAGTTTAAAACCACTCTTCTTCCTCTCCAGCCATTGCCTTGTTACGTAGTCTAGGCTTTCTGTTTCACGATTTTCCCCTCTGGTCATGAGCCTGGTTCTTGTTTTAATTAAAACACAAGCTGTATATTGGTACAAAAAAACAACTGGAACTTTTTTGCCTTTACCTAATGAGACAAAACGCAGAAGGCACTCAAATTAATTTGAAGCTTCCCAGACTCAAAAATAATGCTCATCCTTTTGCAAAATGCAGGATTTCAACTATACATTCTTGTGACCCTGCCATCTAAAAGAGCCGAACGTTGTGCAATAATTGCAGATCTGTGAGGGAGAGATGACGACACACATAAACACAAAGGGTCGAAGTAGGGCTTTTGTGTCACTGCAGAGGGCTTTACAGATTTCTTTCTTTATTCATACAGAAGCCAGATCCCTCCATCTTAAAAAAGAAAAATGCTCGGGAATACTATTTTACTACCGAGTTCTTAGTAGCCATGGTGTATTTATTTTATTAAGGGGGCCAATCTGCTGTTCTCAAAAATAGTATTCTCCACAGGACTGAATAAAGCAGAGGCTAAACCATGGATCTGTTAAAGAGCTTCACTCACAGCCATCAAGTGTTGCCTCTGCCACGTGCTGCACTGAACTGTTTAAGTCAATTGTCTTGTTGAAACCTCACATCCACTCTGCGAAGCAGGCCCTGTTTTAATCCCCTGTTTGGCAGATGGAGAAAATGATGCTTAAAGAGGTCGCATGACTTTCACGAGGTCCCAGATAAGTGGCAGGATCAGGATTTACATACAGAGCTGTTGGACCATATGCCTCTTCCTCTTCTGAGCAGCTTGGCTGAGTAGAAGAATCTCTGGATCAGTCATCTGACCCGTCACTCAATTGCAACGAGCTAATGGAGTTGGTATATATTATCAATAAATAAAATAAGACAAGCTCAAGAGAACTGAGGCAAATCTCTTAATTTTACTGTACCTCAACTCTCCCATCTGTAATAATAAAATAATAATCATCTGTACTTATTGCCCTGGGTCTTAGGGAGAAAATTTGAAATTTTGTATACCGTGGGTGTCAAAAAATGTATACAAGTGGACACTTTGGTCAGCGTTGCTCAAGCAGTAGTTCGCTGTAATCAAAAGTGTCTGGACACTGATGGTAACCACTTTGAGCACCTCTTGTAATTGCAGAAGTCAAACGTGACTTGTATTCATCTTTTGTTATTGGTCTATATTGAGTATTACAATTTTAATTGTTTTTTCCTTTCTTAAAATGTGTGTACATTTTTTTGGCACCCTCTGTATATATGTATGTATGTAAACACATACCCACATATTTATTTGTATATACACATACACATACATACACACGTGTACAAATACCTATATGTACATGTGTACATACAAGTGTGCATGTAGATACACACACATACTTATGTGCACACAAATACAAGTAAGGAATTTTTGTTGCTTTTCTGTATCACTATGACTGCAACTTTCGTGAAAGCTGACACTTGTTGGGTAATTGCATAACTTATTTTTTGTGCGAGTCAAATGACATCAAGATAAATAAGTGTCCTTCCACTTTACTAACCCCTGTGACCCAATCCCTTGCAACCTAGAGTACTAGCACACAATTATGTGGATTCATGTTCCTATGCTGCTTAAACCCCTGTCTGGCAGAAAAAAATAAATGTATATGGCCAATAAATCTCACTTGCAATTAAGTATTGACATATTTCCATCTTGTAGATCAAGCATCGCTTGCACTACAATACCCGCCCACCTCTGTTTTGTGAGTACCACCTTTCACTCAGTTCAATCCACTGATACTTCCCAGATTTCATTACATTTTGACAAAGAGCCATTTCACAGCAGTGTGAGACCTTCAGAAAGGAAGGGCACGTATTGCTTATCAAGTGGACACAGGCAAAGAGTTGGACAGGTAAAGAATATAGCTTTTACCCTGATTTTAGGTGTGATAGAGTATAAAGATATTGAAGATACAAAGAACCTGGCTTGTTCCACCTTCCTAGCAAGAAATCTGAGTAAGATCC